CAAACGGTATACGTATAATGTATGTATCGTTGGAAAGCGGAGCATTTTAGAAAAAATAATGTAAAATAAATAAAGTTGCGGAAGGTAACGGAGAGTGACAAAAAAAAATTATAAATAATAATTTCTGAAAACTAACATTATTTAACGTACATGATATGTTTTCTAGGAAATTATATGAAATTTTCTTACTAAATGTAAACTTTAAATTTATTTGAAAATTTGAAAACAAGTATTTAAAATCCACCAATCAAGGCAATGACATTGTTTAAAATACTAATTCATTGTACTCGTGTGAAAGAAGAAGTGAATTATAAAAATATTTCTTGGATATGTTTATAACCTTAAATATATTTACTGTAGTTCAATAACTCTAGACGTTATATTATATTTAAATAATTAGGTATCTATCGGCCGTTTAATCCTAAAAATCATACTTTTAAAAAATTTAATTTATGAATGTCTATTCTACTTTTCTTAGCCATTTTTTTTTTTTTTTTTTATTGAGAAATATTACAATCTGTCTCAGTTAAGCAGACTTATAATTAGGTTAAACAAATGTAAACAATAAAGGAGAAAAATTGAATATAGTGAAGACAAATACCGCTTATGAATCACAAGCTAATAGAGTATGAATATGAATCACAAGTATGAATATATACATAGATAAATATGAACCATATTATATATACCAATTATATAAACATATATATATATTGCTGTCATATTCAATTTTCAAGTTGTTTGTTTGTTTCGATGTCTAGGCTACTTTTATACTTCGATGTCTACTTTTATACTGTTTGTATGGATGGTGCAAAAAATAAAAATAAATAAAAGAATTAATTGAATAAATAAATCAAGATTAGACAGTTATAGATAATAAAATAGAATAGATAAATAAATAACTTTAAAATATAACATTAAAATCAATAAATGAATTGAAATTAATAAACAAATGAACTTTTAAAATAAAAAAAAATAAATATATACAAAAAATAATAATAATAAATCTGCAAAGGATCATTAGTTATAAACTTGTCATATATGTTTTTTAAGTCTTTCATTGTCAAGGAACTTGATGACTTTGGTAACGATTTCTTTTTGATTCCTCAGGGATGCTGATATATTCTGGGGTATTATTTTAACCTTGTGGTGTAAAAAGGACACTCTTCCAAAATATGTTTTATAGTTAACGACTGGTCACACTTTTGACACCTGGGAATAAGATATTTTGTTATGAGGTGGAGGTGTTCAGTCTAGTATGTCCGATCCTCAGCCGCGTGAGGACGACCTCTTCTCTATGACTGCTGCGTCTGGAGCTGGTCCACGGTTGTGCCTCCTTCTTTATTGTCTTCAATTTGCTAGGTGCGCTGTTGTCCCACCGTCTTAGCCATTCTTGGGATATGGTTTCTCTTGGAGGTCGAGCAAGTTCAGATGTCAAAAAAGCTTTACCGCGGCCTGGAAGAGTAAGAGCTTCTTTTGCTGCTCTATCAGCCATTTCGTTTCCTTTAACGCCTACATGGCCAGGCGACCAGATAAAATATGCTGTTGTTCCAACTCCATGAAGCATTTTTATTAGATTTAGAATGCAGTTTATCCCTGGATGGTCTGGATACATGTTATGGCTTTCAGAGTACTTAGAGAATCCGATACCACAACCACATTTGCAACTGGCTTCTTCATGATGTATCGGAGTTTTCAAGTTATAATGATGGTAATTTATGTAAAGTTTTCCTGAAATTTCGGTATCTGTAGTATAATTAGTGTTGCCCAAATGCGAGATCGAGGCGAATCTTGGTCTTGCAAACTCAGTCTTGGTCATGGTCTTGGTCTTGCGCAAGAGTCTCGCAACAGTCTTGCAGTTACATATTAGCTTATTACTATAGAGATATGACTGTAATTTTTAAGATAGGAGAAAACTAACTAAGCCCGAATGAAAAATTAGAGGAGTTAAATGCAAAAGTATATTGGTTATATCAATTATTAACATATAGTAACTAAGATTGTCAAGTATTAGTAACTATTTTTTCTTAATGTTTATTTAAAAAATCGATTTTTTTTACTAGTTCTAGTCTTGGTCTTGCAACAGTTTGGTAGCCTTGGTCTTGGTCTTGTAAACTGCAAGATCAAGACCGATTTTGGGCAACACTAAGTGTAGCCGAATAATGATGTTGCATAAAATATATTAGAAACATCTGATTTCTTTTCTACTTCTTTTTTTCTTTAATCAGAGTGAGCCACAACAACGAATGGCCGGGTACAACTAATTATTTAAATAAAATATCAGATCTAGAGTTATTAAACTACAGTAAATATATTCAAGGTTATAAACGTATCCATGAAATATTTTTAAATTTCAATTCTTCTTTCACACAAGAACAATGAAATAGTTTTTTAAACAATGTCATTGTCTTAATTTGGTGAATTTTAAATAATTTTTTTTCAAACTTGATTTCCTTGAAAACGTGTGATTTCCGTTAAATAATATTAGTTTAAACAAATTATAATATATAATTTTTCGTCACTGACCTTCTACGACTTTCTATACTCGATATTGTTTTTTCTAAAGTTCTCCGCTTGCCAACAATAAATTTTCCATCTAAATAAACATTTTCTCCGTATTTCAATTATCAAATTCTTTCAAAAGTTATATTTTTTACGTAAACTAAAAATTTTTAACCTCAAAATTTTTTTTTAAATCACAAAAATTGTCATTACTTCTACATGGCTACTTATCCACTCTACTTATCCACACAAAAATTGGTATTCATCTAGGGCCTTATAATATACACGAAATAGCTCAAACCAAAGGTCCGTAAATAAATTAGGCTTGGACATAAAAAATAAAAACACCTTTGGAGTTTTTCTTTATTTATACCTTAAGGTACTATTTGGCTGGCGCGGTCGACGACAGCGACCGCTATTCCCCCCTGCCAACCGCTGTTGGCGTAGCTATTTCGCTGAAACTGCTCACTGGGGTTGTTATAACCTGCCTATAACCTTCGAACATTTCGCTGTATCTTCGAAGATAAAAATATGGACCTAATATAATAATAAAAATGAACATCCTATAATAATGAACATCTCTGACTACCGCTTTTTTATTTGAGTTGGAAAAAGAAGAGAAAATGTTGTTCATAAAGAGAAGGAATATCAGTATTTCGATGTGATGCTCATCATCAAAGTTCCTCTGATATTACATATTATTAGTTTGAAAAATAATACTAATTAATACATAATTGGTTAGTAATAAATATCATATATTTGTAACTAAATCTCAGCAAGCGATGTTTTAGAGTTTTATCAATAGTAATCAGTAAATCACCACTTTAATTAAAAAATACAAATCGTTTTTTCAATGGGTGGATTTTAGTATTTATCTGACGATAAAATTTGTTGGATTCTTTAATTTATTTAATATCGTTTGGATTTAGGTATATTTGTATTTCGCTGTAAAATATTGCTGGTGGAATAAATAAATGAATAATCTTGTTACTTCAACCTCAAAAAAATAATTTATTATTGCATTGTTTCAGTTTTAAACAATATTTGTTATAATTTTGCCAGACTTAAAAGAAACATAGGAAATAAAACGTATCGACGGGACTGTTATCATCAAAACAATACTCTGATATGATAACATAACCTACAACCGCCGAACCGCCAACAGCTCCACTGCTTCAAGAGGAGTCAGATACGAGCAGCTTAGATATGACGTCATACCTAAACTGCCGAGCAGCGCCAGCGAAATAGGTTCCTTTCTATTCCACTAAAGCAGTGGTCAACCGCGAGCAGTCGCGGTCGTGGACCGCGCCAGCGAAATAGTACCTTTATGAAGGCGTTAAATATAAAAGTGATTTATATAAGCTTAAAGAGCAAAAACTCAGCTTTCCAACGATCATACAAACATTGAATCAGAAGAAAGTCACGAGGAGTTATGAGTTATTTAATGAAAAAGAGGTAAAGATTCTAATAGTCATTCGGTTTCCATCACCCATCACCTATCTATTCCTTTATCTCTATTAATGAAAACGTAAGTGTTCGTTTGTTCAAAACTACTAATCTCCGAAACTTCTTCACTAATTGCTTTGAAATATAGAAAAAATGTTTCTATCGCATTCTGGAGTGTTTTTATATACAGTTAATCACCCTCCGGTCTTTCGTTTCCTTAAGGCGGTACAAAAACCTACGTCGCTATAGACTGTAGCGCCTAAACGGCTGTAACGATTTTAATTAAACTTGGCTAAAGTATTCTACTTGAAGCTCTTTTGATTTTTGTATATAGCATCCTTCCCCGAAAAAGTATGAAAAAAAAGTTACGATGGGTTCAAAAGTATATTTGCGAATAACTCAAAAAGTACACCATTTTTGTTTGATTAAACTTCCTTGATTCCCAACAAATAAAATAAAAAAATGTTAAAACCGGACGATTTGGTGCAGAGATATAATACTTTAAACATTTAGTATTTTTCTTGGGAGATTTAGAGACCGATTGCTTCTTATATGCATATATATATATATATATATATATATATATATATATATATATATATATATATATATATATATATACATACAAAGAATGGAACAACAAAGAATATCGCATGTTCACATGTATTGTTACATAAAATATAAAGAAACGTCTGATTTCTTTCCTACTTTAATTATATTCTAATTTACACACACAGAACAATTTGCAGGTCTTGGTTATTTGTACTCAGGGTAAAATTCAGATTAAAAAATTTTCACGATCGCAATACTTTCCCTTACTATACATTACATATAAAGATAAGTGAAAGTAATAAATACGGAGAATATGATTAGCTAAGCCACCGCGCAATTCTTAATCCAACGGTACTTCATTCATGGCGTTTGGGTATGATAGGAGTTTATATTTGGTAAAAGTCTATTTCAAATCTTAGTGTAATAACAAATGTGAGGATAAACAGATTACTGAATTATTCATATTGATATTTATCAAAAGAAAAAGAAAAAACACTTACTCGAGTTTAGGTTGTGTTCACAGAAGAAACAAATTTTCACTCAAACGTCCCTGTTGAGCCAGTGCTCGGAGCGATCCTGATGAAAATAACCGCGTTTTCTTATTTATACGAGCTCTTTAATTATTAATCGAAGCCTGAAGATAAGATAAATCTCGATTAGGAACTATCGAGATGGAATGACCAGTCCTATCGAAGTTGTAAACGACACTGATCACTGACATACAAGGTCGACTCCCCCCCACTTTGCATCCTATTCGAGATATAGTGCAATCGTTAAAATAGCATTCAGTCCAGTCAATTAGTTGTTTGAAGAGGGAAAAAAGTTAATGGATGAGGAAAAAATTCAAATAGTTGATTTCTCTTCGTTTTTTTGTGTTTTTAGGAATGTTGAATCTGAATTTGATATTAACCAACATTGCATTCCGAGATATATACAACAAATTGCGAAATTTCCTTCTTTTTTTTAGATTTTTAGACATGACACCGAAACTATAATTTTTATCGAAATTATTTTGATATACAAAATTAAAGAAGATAAAATTTACTATCAATTGTATGCGAAGCTTTTTGATGTAGGTCCAACTAGTGAGGAGTCAGAGAATGTTGACTGTTCGTTTATTTCACAATAAATTCTATTTTCTTAGGTTTTTCCCAAAGAACTCATATTCTATACATCTTTCGAAGAAATATGTTATAATAAATTTGAATAGCATTCAATTTCAAAAGTAGCTCGTGTAAGCACGTTAATATGTAAGAAGATGAAGCGGCGTTTTAAGCTCATGGAATCGAATACCTATTTCACTTGTAGTATCAATGCTTTTGATTTGGATAATTTAACTATACTTATAACAGAACTAGAAATTGATAAACAAATTACATTGCTTTTATATATTCTGTTAATATAAGAGACATCGACATTCATAATAATAATAATAATAATAACATGTGGTGCGCGCAACACACAATTTTCACTTAACGCTCTACTTAATCTAATTTTTTTCTATTAATTTTTGGCTATTATAAAATTTTTAAGTAAATTTTAATCGAACTAAAGCTTAAAGCTTGCAGCTAAAAGGTCATTAATGCAATTAAAATACCAAACATCCTATTTATTATATCAATGGTTGATTATGGATTGTACGAAAGGTCTCGAGGCCACTGCCGCTTTAACCTACGACGGGAATTGTAGGGATGGGTACTGCTTGTAGAGATTGTACAACGAGATTTGGGTGATGAGTAAGGTTCTGATGAAATTTGTCTGGGATAAGATCAAGAATAAATGGAATATTAAGGTCATTATGCAGGTTAAATAGAAGGGGGCATCGACTATTGTATGGAGGACTTTTTACTGCAAGGATTGGATACGTTTGATGTTCGAAAATTTAGCTGTTCCCCACAGTTCTAGTCCGTAGGTCCAGATAGGTTTCAGTATTGTCTTGTAGATTTTCTATTAAGTAGTTTATATAGCTGGTCAGATCGTCTGTTAAGTTCCTGTCTTTTAAGTCTAGTATTATAGTATTCCACGTTAGTCGTCAGTCTAAGAGAATGCCAAGATACCGAGCTGTGTCATTTAAGCCAGATTAAAAGTTTATCAATGCCTAAATTGTAAAAGATAATTCAATGGAATATCCCTTTTAATCCCTTAATGGTTCATTTAATCTACTAATGGAAAGAAAAATAAGAAGCTTTCCGCTTAATCCGAAAAGGCCTCCATATGCCGGTTTATCTTTGTTAACAAAGCGAGTGGTTGTAGTCGTTTATCTCTTGGACTAGTCCATCAAAAGCAGGTAATCATTAATTGGATTAGGATGGAATAATCCAATATAAAAATAGAATAAAATTTAAAAAAAGCTTTAATCCGACATCAATTGTCCTTAAATATACTTAACCTATAAATTATATATTTTGCCAACAGTCATACTTATATTGATATACATTATTTTTTATGATGAATAAGAATACATATCGCTGCTGTTAGTGCAAAAGATCGTACGTAACAATTTTCCATTTTTATTCTATGTGTGCTAATGTTGATATTTTTTAGTCTGCAACTATATGTTAAAAATGCGGTACGCGCACCATACTGCTTTCACTTACCACCCTCTTCTTATCAAAAATAAGTATTTTCAGACGAATAGGAAGTGAAAATAAAAATTATAAACGCTATATTAATTTATATATAGTACAGTCAGATAGTTAGTAATCATTCGACAACATACATTTATTTCATTCCATTAATTGTCAAATACCAATGCTACTCTTTGCTAGGAATAATAATTTTATTATAGGGTAAAGATTTTCCTACTGTCACTGAACGCATCTATTGGTAGTTTATAACTATTATCTTTTATACACCACTAAATTCTTGCCTATTGTTACGTTAAGAAATGATGATGATGTATTTATATATTAATCACGTTTAAATGATAATGTATTTATATATTAATAAGGCAGTTTATATTGTCAGGTTCAGCTTTCTGATTTCTCAACACAAACACAAAGCTTGTTTTAATTAAGAATTAAATATATTTTAATTTTTTAATTCTTTATTGTTTTCTTAAAAGCGTATACTGATCTATCAGTTCAAATAGCTTTAAGTGTCTTGTCATAGTGTTGTTTTGTATATAGTTTCGTTTTTTTTTTTTGTGTATAGAATGTTTGCCTTATATTTTCTTTACATCATTTCTTTTTTTCTATTTATTTCATTTAGGGCAGCTGTAATCTTTTAATTTTGTTATTCTCAAGGGACTTTGTCCTAGAATAATGTTATTTCCTATCTATCAATTTATATTGTGGATATTTTTATTTGTTTAAGTACCCTTATTTAACAAAGTTTATTATTTATATCGCTGTAATCTATACCATTAAATATTTAATATCACCAACGAAAACGTTTGGGAAAACCGGATATGTATATGTACGAAATATTGACAGAGTCCGTATTTTATTATAGTCATGTTGCTTATTGAAGCCTGTTCTGATCTTCGGGCCAGCTCGGGTGAACTCGACCGAATTCGTATCTCTATGGTTCCTTCATAACAACTATTCTCTATTACGATCTCGTATTTCTCCTTCAGTTAATTATCAAATTCTTTCATATTTTATATTTATTTATTTTTTATATTATATATCGATGTGAAATGGTTAATTGTTTCAAATAAAAAAAATTACTTTAGAGGAAGCTAATATTAAAAATTAACCATGAAAGCCCTATCAGAGAACATAAACAGTGCTTAATTTTACACTGATATAATGAATTCAATCAAAATCGTCGGAGCCGTTTTTGAGAAAATAGTAAAAATGTGTTTCATCGATGAAATAAAGTGCCACTTCTGGTAACTCGGTTTTGACGAAAAAGTTGCTGTACAACTCAGGTATATACAAACTTTAAATATGCAATTTCACTTCCATACGACTTTTCGTTTTTGAGCTAGACCTGTCACATACATACAGACACACGCACGCACACAGACTCAATACATTCCCTTATTATATATTACTTATATATGTAAGTGAAAGTAAAAACGTATTATCATATTTTCATACTATTTTATCAACTGTTCACTGCCCAATATATTAAGCTGTGAATTTACTCAGTCTGCTTCGATTGGGATGTTAATTCTGATTTTATTAAAATCCTGGTTTGTCGAAAATATATTCATAAATGAATAATAAGCTCAATTTATTTTTTCTTTACTTATCTTCAATACGATTATTAATATTACCAATTTGTACATTGTACCAATGTAATAATGTTTTAATGTCAATATTTCGAAAGATAATTTAATCAGTTCCCGATATCTGTGGCCATGATAAGTAGTGATCAGGTTGTGCAACAATCTTGAACTCAACCCTTGCAACTTTTTCTAAGTGGTAAGGTGCTAAAGTGGTTTACAATTTTTTCACAACATTACGTTTAGAGAGAAGAAGAAAAAGAAAAAGTCTTTTTACTTATCATAATATAAATTACAAAACTATACGAAATAATATTTTTGGATTTAAAACCGAAAATCAGACGTGCTACATGGTCTGTTGACCGTCAGAGGAGTCTGTGTTTTATAACAAAATTATGTTTCAATCCATTTATATACTACTAATTAATAAGAAAATAAGAATAATAATATTTACAATGTAAAAGTTATATAAATATTGTAATTACAAAAAGAGTGGTACCAAAATTCTCCAATTTATTAATTGTTAAATTTTCTGGTGAGCATGATTCTATAGAAGAAAGCAGACTTGCCGTAATTTACCAATGCTATCCAATTGTTTCCATTTATTAAATCTATTACTTGATCCCGAGATAAATTTCTAGATTTTAACCATTTAATTCTAAACTAGTAGGCCCGTGCGAAAAATTCGCACAGCATATTGTTATCAAATGCCAAATTAATAATGAAATAAAATAATGCAAGGTATCAAAAGATGAAGGAATCAATTGCTACTTTATCAATAAATATAATCGACAAAGGAAACAAAATTAATTTAAATCTTCTTTTTTTTTTTAAACCAACATATTTACAAATTTCAATAAGCTGTATCTTTGCGAAAAATTGTCCGATTTCAATGATTTTTTTTTTCTTTTGTAGACAATTTAGTAATGTTTTATATAATCATGGGAATGACCAATTCCACAAGGGAAAAGTGTGTATTTTTTTTATTTATTCACAAATAAAGTTTGTTTTCTTTTATAACTTGTTTGCCTGAATTTTCGGAGGGATTGGACTATTTTGCCCGCCTGAAGGAGAAGGAAGCCTTCGAAATTGGTGGCTCAATCTTGAGATTTGGTGAAGAATTAACGATGATATGGCTTGCCGATCAAAAACATCATCGATAAATAATATAAACTCCTCCTGTCTCGATCATAGAGGCCTCAAGTCGACGAAATGAGACATGTATTCAATGACAGTACTACAATTAACGTCGAGTTGTGTGGATGCGAACCCATGCCTTGCGTTATCTCGAAAATAGTACGTTTTTATGCTTAAAACGCAGAATCCGATAGTTCCGGAGGAACTATCCGGGTCTTGCTGTATGCAACAAAATTTTCAAGGTCTAATTTGTCCCGCATCGATCTACAGACCTACCACCGTTCCAGTATTGAAGCCTAGCAAAATGTTTGCATCGACTTTATTTATTTTAGAAAGAAAAACAAAAGCGGAGAATACGATTCACTAACCCCCCGTGAAATTCTGAATCCAACGGTACCCCATTCATGGTATTTGAGCACGACAGGAGCTTATATTTGGTACAAAACAGATTTCGAGCCTTACTGTAATAATATATGTGGGGATGTGGGGATTCAAAGAGTATCGGACTAGCAGCCAGGAAGTGATAGAGATCTTCTGTTTCGTTTGTATTACATATGTTACAATTATTATTTGTTTGCTTGAAGTGTTTATAATTTAAGTTCAAAACATTAGCTCTAATTTTAATCACCTTCAATGAGCTTTTGTCATCAATATAATTTACTGAAGTTAAATGAGGATAAAAAGTGAAAGTTTTAGAATTCTGAACTTTAATTACATATTGATTATATATGTCTTTCTGAATTTGTGTTCTTAGTAAATATAAATTAGCTCTCCATAGTTTAACATCATCATAGTTAGATAGATTTAAGTTGAAATTTCATCCATGCAGTTCTATCAGATTAAGTAAGTCCCTAAACCATGCGATTTCTTTTTTAATTGTCTGTAGTGGTAATATTTTTTGATATTTATGTGATGGAAGATTCAAAATTTGTATAATCTAATCAAAATGAAGTTTAATTGTGAAGATAAATAACAGATCTATTTTAGTCTCAAAGTGAATAAAATGTGTTGGAGTATACTTTGGTAATTTAAATATTTTTTATGAAAGAATCTTAGTTGTCTTTCCACGGCTTCATAACTTACCCCACCCCAGATTTGTGCTCCATAGCACATCACTGCCCTACTAACGGAATTAAATACTTGCAACTTTTTGGATAGAGCACGGGCGGATCTACGGGGGGGGGCTTTCGGGCTGAAGCCCCCCCCCCCCAAAATGGAAAAATATAACCATGTTTTATGGGAAAAAAATTTAAAAAATACCTCATAAAGTATTATTGTTCGTGTAATTACATTTAGAAGTACTTAAGGAATAACTTAAACACCATTTCATATAGGTAGTTAGTTTCTTTCTGTTTTTCTAAAGTAATTATGGTTATTTTTATGGAAAAAAAAGGTTTCGGGCTGAAGCCCCCCCCAAAATTAAATCCTGGATCCGCTAGTGGGATAGAGCTATGTCATTGTTTTCGATAAACTGGCGCCAAATCAAATTCAAACCCACCTTGGCTTTTCCCAGTTTTTCTTCCAGGTGTTTGGACATTGAGAGAGCAGGAGTGAGAACTATTAACATTAAATTTAAATAACTAATAATATATTTGATATTCTCTATTGTTAAATAAGGTTATTTACTATGCCTTTTGTTGTTGTAATTTATCTCTTCAAGTCCGAAAATCTGACGCTTTTCGCGCATCTCACAATTTTCTTGTATCGTTCTAAGTTGGATAGAAAATTATTGTTAATCAATTAATAACCTTTATATGCTCTGATATAAAATATGTAGATTTTTTTCTTGCGCATCTCTTTAGTGTTTTATTTGTTTTCATAATTTTTAATATTTATGTGCCTATTTCTGTAATGTTCATACAACTGCAGGTACGTGTGTGTGTTTTAATTATAAAAATCTGTGCCAATTGAGGTCAGTATAGCTTCCTAGACGTTTTCATTGGTTAAACAATATTCATATTTCAAGGTCTATAATTTTTCGTATGAGAATAAAATCTCTGAAAGACATTTTTTTCGAGAAAAAAAAAAATCCTTGCGGGTTTGATATCCACTAGTTTTGTTCTTTCAGCGAATACTAAAATGCGGAAGAGTTCTTCATTTGCAGATTGGCTATGTGATGATTCGAGGTCAAAAAAAAAAAAAAAAAAAAAAATCCCATTGCATACTGAACATGCACATCGCTATTGTTTGTATAAAAGATCGTAAGTAATAATTTAGTGTTTTACAGGAGAGCAAAAAAAACTATTTTTTTATCTTTATTTATTAGTGTAATTTCAAATTTTATTACCCTCTGCTATTTAACGCTACTGTTTTTAACTTAATCAACTGTCTGTTTGTTTGTTTGGAGTTAGCGAGACCAATATAATTCTTTAGTGAGAACAACAATAGTTTAAGCTGGAATATAAAACTCTGAGTGAAGTTCACACAACTTTGAACTCACAACTTGGTGAAGTGCACCACGGCGAGCTGGTTGAACTTCAATAGAAATAAATACAAACAAATAAGACTTTTTTTTTAAACTTGGCTGAAAATATAAGTAAGTGAACATACAATGCAATATAAATTATTTTTTTAAATAAAACTTAAAATTTTATAACCCCATAAAATTATGTGTTAACCATTCCATATGATCAATGTCTTCCACATTTATCAGCCATTATATCGTCGGCACCATGTCTAAGTAACGAATGTACAATGTTAAACAAGCTCACATTCGTTATTTTAACATGGTACCTACGATATTTTTAACAGTTATTTATATTAATTATAATTATTAAATGGAATTAATTTTAGGCAATTTCTATTCTATACACCAAATTTCCTTCAAGTTTGGGTCAAATCGAATCGAAAGCCGTTTTTAAACTATATACATGCACAGGCGGATCTACGTGGAGCGCTCTAGGGCTGAATTCCTCCCTCCCCCCCTTCCGAAAAAATGGCAAAATATTAACCACGTTTAAAGAAAAAAAATATCTCTAAAAGTATTATTGTTCGTCTTATTATATGTAACAGGACTTAAAGAATCACTTAAACACCATTTCATATACGTAGTTTCTTTCTTTTTTCCGAAGTAATTATCCTAATATATACATATAAAAAAAAATCTTTTTGGCTGCAGCCCCCTCAAAAAATTAAATCCTGGATCCGTAGGTCTACACATGTCAAATAATACATTACTTAATCAGAAAGCGCAATTACTTTTTTGAACGTAGGGATAGATAAAATCTGGATAGAAAAACATAAAATGGCAATATGTTTAGGTACGTAAGGAATACTTTTTTAGAGGAAGTAAAGGAAGAAACTCTCCTTACATTTTCATTTTAATACAAAATGGTAGTATTTTATCTATTTAACTGTTTCAAAGTCACTTATTTTGTTCAAAACTTGATTTTTATATAAAATCTAATAACAATTGTTTGTTATTACAAACTTTAAAAAAAAATTAAATAATTAGGAAACAAGAACAAAACTAGTATGAAACAAGAAACGGTTTAATGTCTAGGAACAAAATAAACATTACATTTTTTTTTTTCAATGCTAAAGCCAAGACAATTAAAGTAATAGGAAATTCATTATTATTCATTTCCACGAAAAAAGAAATCTTCTTTAGTGGAAACAAGACCTCAACTGATAGAATATTCACTCAATACAATTGAGTCGTGTGACACTAGCGGATCCAGGATTTAATTTTTGGGGGGGGGGCTTCAGCCCGACAGATTTTTTTAAATATATATAACGATAATTAATTTGAAAAAAAGAAGAAAGAAATGAATTACCTATATGAAATGGTGTTTAAGTGATTCTTGAAGCCCTATTAAGTGTAATTACACGAACAATAATACTTTAAGAGATAGTTTTTAATATTTTTTTCTATAAAACTTGGTTATATTTTACCGTTTGGGGGGGGAGGCTTTAGCCCGAAAGCCCTCCCCCTAAATCCGCCTGTGCCCTGTGATATATCCCTTCAATATATTGCCTTCAATTATATTGCTTCAATATATTGGCTCAATAATATTGACGGTGTAAGGGGCCCTTTACTTCAATAAATGAGTAGAAGTATGGAGATGTGTTATTAAAAATATTTGTATTTTAAATTAATATTTGTCTATGCGAAGGATAAAAACTGCCGATGGTCCTAGTGACTATCCTCACCTAGAGCTATCGATAGTTTTAAACTATCGATATAATAATAGTACTATCGATATAACGATAGTACTATCGCCTCTCCCTAACATCAGTTTTGGTTTAGACCTTGTTATTAGTGTTTTTCTTCAGGTTTTGTTGTAAGATATTTTTTCCACAACAATGGATCCAATTGGTAAGAATCACTTTGCTTCTTGAGCTGAATTACTGTATTATCATAACCGCCCTTGGTATTTATTAGGTTATAAATTATTAATTGAACTTTGAAGATTTTGATTAAGTTCTGCCCAACTAATTTATTTGTAAATATTTATGGTTAAGCTAGTTCAGTTAATGTTCTTAATATTACAAAAATGGTTGAGTTCAGATTTGTCTTGGAAGATAAATTGCAAGAATTGAGTAGTTTGTTTGACAACAGGTTATACACATGACAGTTCAGTGGGATGGTCTGTCAATATGATTGTACTATTTGTTTTTTTGTTCTACCAAATTTATTTATACTGTAATGATGTGAATTATTTATTAATATTTTCTGTTAACTTTTTCAGGTGGAGATATTTATAGTGTTTCTATTAAAGAAGAAATTACTGATGAAACTGAGGCTACTCGTAAGTTTCCATATTTTAAAATTAGTAATACATAGTGTCTTATGATTTTTGCGTTTCGCTCACTTGCTGCAAAAATTTTATAACTTGAAAATCATGATGAGTTGATACCTCAGGGACAATTGCCATAATGTTAAGTTTAAACTGGCAAAGTCTCATTTTGTTGCTTCTGATACATTTTTATTTTGTATCCCCACATATATTATTACAGTAAGGCTCGAAATCAGTTTTGAACCAAATATAAGCTCCTGTCATGCTCAAATACCATGAATGGGGTACCGTTGGATTCAGAATTTCACGGGAGATTAGCGAATCGTATTCTCCACTTTTGTTTTTCTTTCTAAAATAAATAAAGTCGATACAAACATTTTGCTAGGCTTCAATACTGGAACGGTGTTAGGTCTGCAGATTAATATGGAATAAATTGGATCTTAAAGATTTTGATATGATTTTTAAGCCCAAAGACGTACTATTTTGGAGATAATGCAAGGCATAGGATTCGCATCCACACAACCTTACATTAATTCTAGTACTGTCATTGAATAAATGTCTCGTTTCGTCGACTTGAGGTCTCTATGATCGAGAGAGGAGGAGTTTATATTATTTATCGATGGTGTTTTTGATCAGCAAGCCATATCATCGTTAATTTTTCACCAAATCTCAAGATTGAGCCACCCATTTCGAAGGCTTCCTTCTCCTTCAGACGGGCAAAATAGTCCAATCACCCAGAAAATTCAGGCAAACAAGTTATGAAAGGAAACAAACTTTATTTACGAATAACTAAAAAATTACACACTTTTTCCTTGGTTATGCCCGATTATATAAAATATTACTAAATTCTCTACAAAATGAAAAAAAAAATCATTGTAATCGGACTATATTTAGCAAAGATTTAGCTTTCTGAAATTTGTATACATGTTGGTTTCAAACAGAAATGAAGATTTAAATTAATTTTTGTTTTCTTTGTCGATTATATTTATTGATAAAGGAACATTTGATTTTTTTTTATCTTTTGATATGTTGCATTATTTTCTTTTTAATTTTAATTATTAATTTTTAATTTTTCTTATTAATTTGGCATTTGATAATAATATGATTCATCATATTGGCATTTGATAACTACTAGTTATAGTTTAATTGCAATTTTATTTTAATACTATAGTTTAAAACACTATTAATTGGAAACCCGAGTGAACTCTGGCACAAATATGAAATACATTTTATATTTTAACCTAACTTTTCAACATTAGTCACATAATATCTACAAATTTATATATAAATAGATGATTTATTTATCTTAATAGATATCATCTTTCTATATCTTTTCATGTTTGTAAATGTTTTATAATTAATATCCGAGAGTTTAGGAAATGATAAAATGTGAATTTCAGTTTTGTGCCTCATGAGCTTGCCTTTTGGCTGCCAATAATCGCAGTTGAAATATATATCCGAATTGTTCCTTCAAGGCGCGGTTTCAAAATAACTTTCGCACACTTCAGCTCAATTCAATTCAAATTGATCATTGGTTGTAGACAGCGTTCATTATTAATGGTTTCACTAGTTTTTGGTTTAGTAGCTCATAATAGGTCACATCCTTTTTTTTCCCACCAAACACAGAGCATTGTCTACTTTCCATAGCAACTAGGCCTTATAACTGAAGTAGATTCTCGGTGGTTCACCTGGAGTTATCCATGATCTTTGATACTTAGGATTCTTAAAATATATCCACTTTTCGTCACGTGTCACAATTCATTCAAGAAATAAATTTCTTTTGTACTTGGCAAGTAGCACTTTGGATTTGGTTTTCCAGTTTCCTTGCTGGCTTTCATATTTACCATGGCAATTTCCCTCTTATATTTGATTGATCCACTAGTTTTTGCTGAATTTTGTGTATCATCCTCATCCAACAATTCTTGCAATTCGCGATCTTCAAACTTTATTGTTGGTCTTTCACATTCTCATGTAAAAATCACCACTTTTAAATTTCAAAGCACTGTGGTTTTACACTTTTTTGCACTTTACTTAGATCATGGCTACGATATGTTTCTGCAAGCATGCAAAAGCATTTATTGCAATTCGGAAATCAAAATTGACTTTCTTACGGTGACAATATCTTAAAGCAAGATGCTTGTGTGCATTGGTTTAGACGATTCATAAGTGGTGATTTTGACTTGAAAGACAAAGAATCCCGCCCTGGTCAACCAAATAAAACGTCAAGATGCCGTATTACATCTATTGTTAGATGAAGACGATAAACAAATTCAACAACAAATGGCAGACAGTTTAAATGCTGCTAGCTGAACAATTCGTGATCGTCTGCATACTATGTGATAGATATAGAAATCAGATAAGTAGGTACAATCACAGTTGAACGATAAACAAGTGAAAAAGCAAAAAATGGATTGTGATGTGTTCTGAAGAAAGACTTTTTTTCATCAGATTCTGACTGAAGATGAAAAATGGATATGATTCAAGAGTTAAAACTCAGAAAATCATGGGTTGACCCAAGACAATCATCAACTTCGACCGCAAGACCAAATCACTTTGGAAAGAATACATTTCTATGCATTATGGTGGCATCAGAGTGTCGTGTACCATGAGCTTCTGAAATTAGATAAAACAGTTGATATCATTAGCTACTGTCAACAAATGATCTATTTGAACCACGTATTGATAGAAAAGGGATCAAATGGACTACAAAAATGAAAAAGAAATTTTGCAGAACGACAACTTCCTTTCACTTACAGCAAAAGTGGTCAAAGACACCATCTTTATACTTGGCTGGGAACTCTTGTCAAAGAGATGGGCAAATGCTACTTTGAGTACCGAGTACCAAGTATTTTACTCAGATAGAATCACTATTGGAAATTCAATCACTACTTCAGTTAATTCTTCGACATCAACTGAAGTAGTAATTAAATTCTTTGGTACTCAAAAAAGGTCAGTATTTGAATAATATACTTGATAATCAGTACTCAACGTAGCATTTGCCCATATCTAATCTTGTCCCACCTGCTGTATTCGCCAGACTTAGCCCTTTCTGCCTACCACTCTCCGTGAAACATTTCAATGATTGTGGAGATATCAAAAAAATGGTTTGATATTTGGACCATCTCAAAAGAAGTACAATTTTCTTGGAAGGTCATTCACGAATTATTGTCTGTGAGACCGATAAACTAGAGATGTGGCAAAGTTTGAAATAACTATTTTTTACGTTTCTCCCAATTTAAACTTGTTTTAAAAAGAAAAAAAATACTTACTGTTACACTTGGTGTATGTAATTAGAATTAGGTAATACCTTAAATGAGGTTTATGGAAATACTCCCCAAGACGGCAAATTTCTACATTTATGTATTAGTCATTATCAAAACATACCATAGCTTAAATTATTTTATTAAATTTTTGATATGATATTTATGTGTTGTTTATAATATTATTTATTTGTCACCAGATGAGCTGATTGATGTTAAACAGGAAGACGAAATGTTTGTCCCAGATGAAGGTAACATACATTTACTAACATACTAGGTTTATCCATGCATCTTGTTAATAATACTTAATTTATTATTTTTCTAAATAGCCAGAATGATATTGAGTGAAGAACTCCTATGTACTAACCTTCTTAAGTATTATTAGTTCTAATATGGTTATGTGTGATCTGTAAACAAGATTAGAGCTAGTTATAAAGGCATGTTTTCCTAGCAGCGTACTAGCTTAGTGTAACTCATCAAATCTAATACAGTGCAGAAGAGGACAATGGAGATTATTTGAAGTGTTTACATATAAAACCCAACTACCAAAGACAGTATTGGTAGTATTCCAAGATTGGAATTTAATCCACACCACTCTTAGTACAATAAATTCAGTCAATAGATTTGTAGGATATAACAGATTTCAGGAGCCTCAGCACTTGTGTAATTAATTTTTTAATAATTGTAAATTGGTGGTGGACTGTAGTGAATAATTGTAGAGAAGATTGGTTGGGATGATCAGTATAAAAAAATAATGTAAAAATAAAAATAAATATATTTATTTATTTTTACATTTTTACTTTCACTTATCTATATATGTAATGTATAGTATGGGTAAGTATTGCTGTCATGAAATTTTTTTAATCTTTTGAATTTGAGTTTTAAACGGAAATAGACGTATTAAGGTCTCCTGAATCCAAATAATCAAGTCCCGCAAAATGGTCTGTGTGTGTGTGTGAACAGCCTAGCTCAAAAACCAAAAGTCGGACGAAACTGAAATAGCATACTTGAGGTTTTTATAATCTTTAGGTGTTACAGCAATATTTTTGTCAAAATCAGGAAACGAGAAGTGGTACTTTATATAATCAATTTAACACATTTTACGGTTTTATCAAAAACGGCTCTAATGACTTGGATTAAACTCAGTATATCTAACAGGGCTTAAATAGCTAATTTTCAATATTAGCTTTCTCTAAAGTACCTTTATTTTTTTATATTTGAATCTTTGATACAAAAAATATAAAATATGAAAGAATTTGATTATTAACTAGTGGAGAAATAAGAGATCATAACAGATAATATGAGAAGGAGTTAGTCGACGGTGCGGTCAAATAAATAAAAAATTAAAATATATTAATTATTTTAATTTTTGCCGACGTTTCGACCCACTTTGCAGGTCGTCTTCAGGGCTACAAAAGATACAAAACATGTTGAAAATAAAAAATAAATATAAGTATTTATAAAATTTTATATATATAAAAAATTTTATATATACTTATATTTATTTTTTATTTTCAACATGTGTTGTATCTTTTGTAGCCCTGAAGACGATGACCTGCAAAGTGGGTCGAAACGTCAGCAAAAATTAAAATAATTAATATATTTTAATTTTTTATTTATTTGACCACACCCTCGACTAACTCCTTCTCATATTATATCAACGGTCAACCATCTCTACATCATAACAGATAATAGTTGTAATGTAAGAACCAAAGGAATACAAGCGCGGCAGAGCTTTCCTGAAAGCTTCATATAATATGGATTCCGACAACATTATGTACATATGCATATGCGGTTTTCATGTTTTCTATCGTTGGTATTATTTAATATTTAATTTTATATAGAATACAACGATATTAAAATTAAAATTTGTCTATTTAATAGGATATTTAAACAAATAAAAGTACCCACAATGAAATGTAAATAAATATAGCGTCTATAATTTTTACTTTCACTTCCCCTTTGTCTGAAAATACTTATTTCTGCTAAGAAAAGATTAATAAGTGAAAGTCGTGCGATGCACGCACCAGATTATTTTTTTTACTGATCATCCCAACCAATCTTCTCTTTAATAATTTCCTAATCATTTATTTTTAATTGAAAAGTTCATATTTAAATGTAGAAAATACACTAATTTAATAAAAATCAAAGTTAGTATTCTTTAATAATGAACTAAAGGGTTTGTCAGGATTTTTTTTTTAAATTCACATACTGCACTGCGGCCTACCGAGGCTTTATTGTGCACCATATCTTAGAAGCTCTTTACTTCAATACATGGCTCTAGTAGCGAACTGTCTACACAAAACTCACCTATGAACTTGAGTGCAAAGATAATTCAGTTTGCACTGATCGTTATAGATTTCTGTAATTATGCTTAAGAAAGCCCTATTCATATTAGGCAGATACCATTGAAGAAAAGGTTGGATTGGAGCTGTTTCACTACCATATTTCTGTTACATATTGATTAATTCATGTATATAAATTTAAACTCAAAATTTTTAATATAAATTCTCTTTTTGAAATTTCTTATATTTTTAATGATGTAAGATATTTACTTTTAGTATTATTTACTTGTTAGCAGATGGGTTCATTCATGTGAAACAAGAAGACGATATGCTCGTTCCAAGTCGAGGTAAGATACATTTATCGTATTAGCTTACGATTAAATTTTATGATATTAATTAAAGTTAATTTAATTTGATTATAATACATCTTTAAAAGTTATATTTTGTATTTGTTTTGGTGTAATCTAATCTTTAAGAAGTTTATTGTGACATATTTTGTCACCTCTACACTATAGCATATTTTCCCATCTTACTACACTCTAGAACTTTTTAGATTTTCATTATGTTTAAAAAAGTAGTAAGAGTGTTGTCCAAAAATTAAAGAATGATTAGGCATATCTAACTTATGAATATTAACACAAAATTTTGTTTACAAACTTACATTAAGCTATTGCTGTTATGGTATTTATTGGAATTTGGTTTCAGTTCTACAATCCTGATATTATTAGTGAGCCCTTCAGGAATGACAGTCTTATTAAGACTGAAAAGAATCACTTCAATTATGAAAATCCCATATTAGTTAAACTGACATAATTTTAGCTCTGTTGATATTGATTCATGTTGATCTGGCACACCATCCATTATAGAAATTGATATGTAATAGTGTGTATAAAGAAAAAAATGACCGTTTTATCAAACTCAAGATTTCAAAGGACTGTAAATATTTTAATCCTATTTAATACTTATCATTACTTAATAATCCCTTTAGAGCATTCTTTAAGCTTGTTTAATCTCATTCAACTTCTTCAAATAAAGGCTCAGTTTAGTTATTTGTTTCAAAGAAGAAACATGACAGTTTCCTACGAAATTCTCGTAAAGAATTTCACAGCCACTGAAGCAACTCATGATATTATTAAATATAAAGGGAAAGGTGTCCTTGATCAGCGCACTGTGCGGTGTTGGTTTAAAAAATTTAGCAGTGGAAATACGACGTTGGAAAGGGAGGGCTCTGGGCGACCATTAATGGATAAGGTTCTGCAGGAAGCTGTTGAGTGAAATGAGTACTCGTGAACTTGCCAGGGAATGTGTTGTTTCGAAAGATTCTGTTAGTCGTCATCTACTCTCCATGGGGAAGTTGATAAAGAGCAATAGACTGGTTCCTCACGAACTTATTCCTCAACAAATAGCTAAGAGATTAGAAATTTGTAAAAATTTATTGAAAAACCCTTCTGATATGAGACTCGCACCATCGGATTACTACTTATTTAGATCCATGGCCCATTTTCTTCAAGGGAAAAAAATTGATAATTTTGCGGAAGTCGCAATTGAGGTGAAAGAATGGTATCAGTTTGGGATCGAGCAATTGGTCAGCAGATGGCTAATAATGATAGATAACAATGGACTATACTTTGAGTATTAATTGTATTTTATATCAAAGAAATAATAATACAAATATTTGGTTGAAAAACGTTCATTTTTTTTATACAGCCTATTATTTATCAGTGACAAACTTAATGTTTCTTACTAAAATTTACATTTAAAATAAAGAAACCTACTGATTGCTTCAATTATTTTCATGAAACCATAAATATTAGGACTAGAAACATTAAGTTTGTTTCTAAGCGATAAATAAAAATCAATTGCCATATCAGGAATCTGGGAGAAAAACGTAATTTCATAACCACCTTATATGAAAAATCATTATTTTTAATTTTTAAAAAATGTGTTTTTAGGCAATCATTGTTATTATAATACACCCCATACACATAATACAGACAATTATTTTTATTATAATACACCCATAATACACACCATTACAGAAAAACTAGAAATAAGAGCTTTGCAATCGTTGATTGTAGTAATTTTTGCTGAAAACACGGGTACTTTTAAGTTACTGGATAGAAAATCACATCATTTCTTTACACAACTTGAGGTGAATCTCAATTTTTTTTTCAAATAAATCTCAATTTAATTAATATGGATTTAAAGCTAATTAAATAAGAAAGTTTTTCTAAAAGTAGGATGACTTTAGTACAGTTGAAGGGTGATAAAAAAAATCACAAATAATTTATAACTTTTTTTTAACGAAACTTACCTGAGTTTGTCCGCTCCATAGTCCTCTTTAGATGGTTTTAACAATGACATATTCTACATTCATTTGAAATTAATTTTGTTTATTGTGGAACAATTACTGAAATCAAATATTTTTTTGATGACGTGATTTGCTTTAAAAAACATAAATTTTAAATCCATATGTGCTTGTTTTTGGTGAAAATTTTCTTATATAAAATAAGGCTCTGTTTATTTTTTCACCATATTTATTTTAATTTTCATAGCTATGTTTCGGCCAATAATAAGCCATCTTCAAGCCATTTTATTCAACCATGCTTTTTGCATGTAGTCCAAAGTCTAATTAATTAGATTAATTAATAAGATTAAATTAATTAGACTTTGGACTACATGCAAAAAGCATGGTTGGATAAAATGACTTGAAGATGGCTTATCGGCCGAAACTTAGCTATGAAAATTAAAATAAATATGGTGAAAAAATAAACAGAGCCTTCTTTTATAATAACAAATTTTAAATTTACTACCTTTCTGCTGGAAATCGATCAATCGGTACATATATTATTACAGTAAGGCTCGAAATCTGTTTTGTACCAAATATAAGCTCCTGTCATGCTCAAATACTACGAATGGGGTACCGTTGGATTCAGAAATTCACGGAGGGTTAACGAATTGTATTCTCCACTTTTGATTTTCTTTCTAAAATAAATAAAGTCGATACAAACATTTTGCTAGGCTTCAATACCTGAACAGTGGTAGGTCTGTAGATCGATACGGGACAAATCGGATCTAGAAGATTTTGATGCGTACAGCAAGAGACCCGGATAGTTCCTCCGGAACTATCGGATCCTGCGTTTTTAAGCCCACAAAACTTACTATTTTCGAGATAACGCAAGGCATAGGGTTTGCATCCACACAACCTTACATTAATTGTAGTGCTGTCATTGAATACATGTCTCATTTCGTCGACTCGAGGTCTCTATGATCGAGAGAGGAGGAGTTTATATTATTTATCGATGGTGTTTTTGATCGGCAAGCCATATCATCGTCAATTTTTCACCAAATCTCAAGATTGAGCCACCAATGCTTCCTTCTCCTTCAGACGGACAAAATAGTCCAATCATTCCGAAAATTCAGGCAAAAAAGTTATAAAAGAAAACAAACTTTATTTGCGAATAACTAAAAAATTACACACTTTTCCCTCGGTTATGTCCATTATTATATAAAAAATTACTAAATTCCCTACTAAATGATTGAGGAAAAATCATCGAAATCGGGCAATTTTTAGAAAAGATACAGCTTATTGAGATTTGTAAACATGATGGTTCCAAACATTAATGAAGATTTAAATTAATTTTTGTTTTCTTTGTCGATTATATGTATAGATAAAGGAACAATTGATTTCTTTATCTTTTGATAGGTTGATAGGTTTATTTTCTTATTAATCTGGCATTTGATAACAATATGCTGTGCGAATTTTTCGCATGGGCCTACTAGTTGTTTATATAAACTATTTTGTACATCTTGATGTCTACTATCACCCTTTTAATTATTTTCCTCTACTTGCGGGACACCCTGTATATAGTGTAGGTTTTAACATCTTTAGTTCACATTAGTTTAATTTTCCACTTAAGTATAAAAATTAAAGAAAGGCATGATTTATGATATGACTCACGTATCTTTACAGATGCTCTTATGAACGATGATGAAGATGAAGGACTGTCCTCATCAATAGAAGAGGGTGAACCTGTTCATTTAGACAAAAGAAAACGTTTAGATAAATCAGGCAAGTCAAATTTATCAAAAATAACTTAGTAGTAAAGCTTTCACTCTTAATAACCTATCAGGACCTGGAATTAGTTCTCATTGTTTCTTAATAGATGGCAGCATCGGTACTAGTTTCTAAAGGTCCAGCTTAGGGAAAACTTTCAATCTCAATATTTAAATTTTTTCCTTCCGAAGCGTCTGAAAAGAAGATGGCGTCGTGATCTACTTCTGTAAATATATATTATTAGAGTGCTATCAATGGGTAGTTTCTCAACAAGTGTTTTCATGTGATTGTATTATTACTGTGTGCACATTTACTAGTTTTTTTTCTTTTTTTTTTTTATAATACAGTTGTAAATATTAATGAATAAAAAAAAAATTTGCTATAAAAATTCATATAGAAGGTTTCCTTTAGATATGAAAAATTAATATACACTTTGTTTCTCACTGAAATTTCTCAATGAAAAAAATCTTTATTTTAGACACCATGCCGATTAAAGTAGAACCAAATAGAATTGTAACATAAGCTTGGATTTAATACTCTTGTATAAAATTTGTTTTGTTATTTAACAAATAAAGAAATAATTGAATAGAAATTATTTTCTGGCAAAGTTGGGCTATTTCTAAAAGATTTTTAAGTGTATCTTAAATAAAGCTAAACTTTAAAAACAAATTTATGAATTTCGGTCATATTTATCGATGCAAAAACTCTCTATGACCATCAGAATAACCCAAAGCCTACTTATTATATCGACAGTAAGCAATAAAACTTGAAGCAAAAAGCAACTTGACAAACGACTCACTTGGAACCCCCATACTAGACTGAAACGACTAGAAACCGCCTGACGTTTTCGACTACTTCAGCACTTACTAGACAAACGCTCTAAGCTTTCAATCAATTACAAACGACTCATATATATGACAATAATAAGACCTATTTGGACTTACGGAATTGAGCTTTGGGGCTCCACTAAACCATTGAATTCCTCTCATATCCAATCGTTACAATCCAAAATCCTCAACGCTCCTTACTTTGTCACAAATAAAATCATCCATAAGAACCTTAATGTTCCATATGTTTCCGATTTTGCCCAATCCAGATACCTATCCTTTCATAACAAACTGCAGAACCATCCGAATCCTCTCGTTTCAAACCTTGCTTCTTCCACGATCCCTTATAACCCTCCGAGGCATCTGAAAATAAGATGTCCTCGGGACCTTATAATATAGAACTTTAATTTGAGTTATTCCAATGGATAGTTTATCTTCATGTTATACATGTCATGTTACCAATGTCAAATTTACTTGTTGTACTTTCTATGTAATACAGTTGTAAATTTCATTAAAATAAAAAATAAAAACAAATAAAAAAATTTATTTAAACTTATTTTTCCCCCCTTATAAAATTTACCAAAATAGAATTACGAGATTTTCATTGCCTGCCATTGATAGGTCAAAGTCATCACACCTGTCTTAAGCGGATAATGCTGTGATTTCACAAAGAGAATATTTATAAAATTATTCACTAATTTTCTAAAGTGTTACTTAAAGATTTTTTTGGAATAAGGCTAAGAATAAATATATTTGACAGGTAGCTATGGTGCGGGAATAAATTAGACCAGCAGGCTTAGCAATATTTTTTTTCAGTAGATAAAAAGTTAATAATCGTTTTTCAAATTAAAAAACATTGTGAAGTTTTTCATAATTTCTAGCTTGGAAATCCTATATTGATATGGGTTGGGAGAGCGGTAATTCACCTTTCCAAAAGTCATACTGATTTGACTAATGTTAAATTTGGAGAAAATTATAAAGGCTGGTCCAGACGCTCCATTTTGCACAACGTTTTGTCTGTGCAGTCTTAAGACGGAATGAAAACGTTGCAATTTTTAAAGCGTCCACACGGCACAGACACATCTGTATATTTTGCTCAGTTTTGTCTGAGATCGTCATGGAAGAGGTACTACTCTGGTCGATTTTCGCGATGTGTCTTGTTAAAAAAAAAATAGGAACATCTCAGAAGTACCCGGCGTTCAAAGTGGTCGCGGAAGTGGCTTCTAAAATGGCAGCACTTCTCCCATATCAAATTATTGCGTGAGTTACGTGATGAACCTATTGATTGGCGTAATTACTTGTGAATGAACATTGACACATATACTTATTTATTGGAATTAGTGCCTTGATGTCTCCTGATCATTCAGAAAATTTAATAAATCAAAATACCAGAGAGATAGCTTGTATATTTCTTCTTTCCAGCCCCAGATCGAATCGATTTATTTATTTTACCCAATTCTTTTCGGTACACACTTCTCAATAAATTAATTTTTTTCACGACTGTCTCCTGGTTTGCCGTTGCATCAATTTCATACGCCATCCCCTTCTTATCCCTGTCACTGTAATATTTTGATTTAACACGCTAAATGTGTGGAAACTTTCATACAGAGCAATAAAATCGGTTAAAAACTCCCTAGAACATTGCCGAAGGTCAACCATTGCTGACGAATTGAAACTGAGTAACAAAATGAATCGGAAAATAGTGCTACAGTCCACATGCACCGACATGTCTGCGCAGTTGTAGGAAATCTATGCTCTTTGGCTCAGTTTTACTAAAACTGTACCGTCTTCGAAATGGATTCAAAACTGCAAAGTTTTCCAGTCCATACACAAAGTTTTATCCGCAACGTTTTGAACTGCGCAGACAAAACATTGTGCAAAACAGAGCATCTGGACCAGCCTTAAGAAGTTATAAATGCTTTAGTTATCGGCAAAAAAAAATTCGTCCTTGAAAATCAAGTACTAAAATTGGAAATTCTCATTCAAGAGTTTTAAAGGACACAAATCTGACAGCTTTTTGTCACAAATATTTACTTGACTTACTTTAAGGCACCCCTAGATTTGGTTTTTGTAATTTATAATGCATTAACCTATTTAAAATCATAGTCAATATTTTTTTCTTATTCTGTCCAAAAAAATAAATCCATTGATATATAATAACCCTTAAGTTAATTTGCATGGCAATACACAAAGTTACAAAGAATGCAGACCAATATGGGATTAATAAATTGTGCATCTGAAAGATACAACTTAGGTCCTTTCCAATTTTGTGATATCTGTAACAATTTTCAAGATATTTCCATTGTGATCCGCATATATGGTACACCTTCTATATATGTAGTAAATAATATAGTTGATAGTTATTCTGATATTTTTCATTCTTGTGTTTCAGATTCACCATGCGAAAATTTATGTATGAACATCAGAGATAATTTTGGTAGATATGTGAAGAAGCGTAAAACTGAAATCGGACAAGCTGTTGCTAATAGCAAAAACTCTAAATTTGAAGTTAAAATGCCTTATTCATATGACAGAGATCCACTTACTAATGTTTTACTTGCAGAGACTTCATTGCTAAAAGAACAAAGGCATGCAATCAAAGGACTGGGAGAATCAAAAAATACAACTCTTTGTGCGTCTGCTCTATTGATGAAACATAGTTTTGATAAGAATGGCACACATCTGCCGCGTCATCATATAGATAGCTTCCTTGCTGGAATCGGATCGACCATGAAGAAATTGAACCGTTACAACCAACACGTTGCCAAAGGACGTATATTTAATCTTGTCCAAAACTTAGTGTCGCAAGAATTATTCAACCAATCCTCGTATACTTAAAAGGCCTCATCGCAGCATTCCGAAACCGAATTCGACATCAAAAGGTTTAGAAAATATGAATGAGAGTTACAGCTTTTCGACATCTGCTAAGGCTTAGGTAATGAATGTCCAGAATATTTATTTTTATGCAATTGCATTTTTTAAACTACCTACCAAATATCTTTATAACTATCAAATTTCACTGTGCTAAGATGTAATCAAGAATGCGTTTGGATATCATGCTGTGATCTTTGGATTATTTTATTTTCTGTCCTTATAATGCCTGAATTGGCAAAACATTGGCTGTTTATTTTGTTCTTTATCGAAATTCTTGAAACACAAGGCTGTGAGGTTGGAATTTTTCCTATTACTAGTGTTCGCCCAGTGGTCGAAATTCGACCATAGCCATTAAAAATTTTAAGGAAAACATATAATTAAATAAAAAAATAAATAAAGAGTAAATCACGATTCAAAAATCCTCATTTATTAATATAAACAAAATTTCAATTTCAATTAAAAATCGAGCTTAAACTACTTAAAATTATTTATAAGTAATACAAAATAGACTCATTCAAAAATATTTAATTTTAATTTTAATTTATGTGTGTTATTATCACAATGAATTAATGTTATGATTAAGCAAGTAAAAATTAAATTTAAATTAGCAATTTAAATCCATTTTTTATTCAGAACTTCTCTGTAAACAATGTTCTTTTTGGATGTTCTGTTATTGTTTAGTGCATAGCCTAGCCCCTTTCCATTGAAAATATAAATTTCAATATTATAAATGAACGTGCTCTACTCGCTGCTCAAGCTCTACATATAATTGTCCATGCGAAATTACCGGACGTCGCAATAATACACACATTTTTCAAAATAGTGTTGACCATAGCATAGCAGCAATCATTCCAAATGATTATGGTCATAGCAAATGCTGCTATCAATAGAAACATTGTTCTTTGAAAGTCGAATGGAAGTATTGTGTCAGAAAATGTTAAATGAATTCTTGAAATTGAAATTCTTTAATTTAAAGTAGCCCCCATTAGTACTTCATTCTTGTTTGTGTTTCATTAACTAATGCTTGTGAAGTATTTTTTTAAGTTAAGAATGAGCACAACTATATAATTTACTTAGAACATTCCAATAACATTCAATGATATCATATCTTCAAATAATAGTCCTGATTACTTCATCAAATGTAAAATTTTTGGTTTACCAAAAAACAAAATAATGGAAATCGACTTTGAAAAATAAAACGTACTAAATGTTTAAAATGATATATCTCTGCAACAAATAGTCCGATTTCAATGATTTTTTTTTTTTTTTTCGTAGGAAATCAAGAAAGCTTTCATATAAATACTGGTATTATTATATACCAATATTGGTATTCGCAAATAAAATGCAGAATTCATCATAAAAATGTATGCAGCTTGTTTTCGGGAAATTATGTTATATACATAAATTATAAAGGTTTCCAGGGGAAGACTTTAGCCAAGTTTCATTGAAACCGTTGAAGCCGTATTGGCGCTACAGTCTAAAGCAAATCACGTTTTTCGGCCGCCATTTCGAAAGGAAAGGCCCGATGATAATGAAACGTATACAAAAAAACTTCTAAATATTATTGCGATGTTGTGTCAAAATTTAAAAGAAATCGGTGAAGAACTTTCGGAGATTAGCGTTTTGAACAAACTACCATTTATAGTTTTATTTACATACTATTTTATATTTTTATTTATACGATAACACTAAAGCTCAATATCTATTAAACAAAAAAAGAAGGAAGAAAATCGGTTGAATAATAGAGGAGTAAAAGGGGCTGAACCGTTTTGTGTTTGCCTATTTATATAATGATAATCTAACACTGAATTTCTATTTCTTGGCAAGTTTTTACTCGTTTACATTATTATTTAAATAAGCCTAGTGTTATTTTACACATTTGATGATAAATGAAAAAACTTGTATAAACTGATACTTTCAACTAAAACTAAAAATGTGGTGCTGTAGGCATCACACTTACCATTGTAATTAAATTAATAAATTCCTGCCCAAAAGGGGCTAACTAATCTTTAAAATAACTGTAAATATGATGGAAAATAATTATTTGTATGGCCTACGTATAATTGTAAAGAAGAATGAATCTTATCAATGTTAAGTTCTATTATTAATCATTTATTTTTAAAATATCCATATCTCTTTGAAAAAAATCTGTTTGACATTTAGAAATAATGTCATGTATTTTGTAAAAGTCTCTATTTGCAATTTAAAGAAAGGTTTTCCTTGTTAGGGTTTTTGTTTTTTCAAGATGAACAGAACAAAATGTGTCATATGTATGTGTTGATAAGTACCAATTATGAATCTTATAGCTGTTATCACATTATTTCTTCAATTTGAAAGGGTAAAAAGAATTTATATCTTAACTCCAGGGGTCAAGTGTGTATGAAACAATTTTTAAAACATCAAAAATATTACAAGTATTTTTTTTCGACTAGTTTTTATAGATCTTTAATCTTGGCCAGGTAAGTGACCATAGTGTTAGGGCGATATAGGCGGAGTTGCAATTCTGTCACACTGTTTAGGCCAGAGCTGGTGATCACAGTGACAATCACTGTAAACTCTGTGAAATCACTGTGCTCCAACAGTGACGGTACCTGTAATTGCTGTGAAATCACTAAGCTCTGACAGTGACAGTGACTGAGTAATATCACTATGCTCTAGCGGTGACGATCACTGTTAGCTCTGTGAAATCACAGCAACTCCACTTCATCACTCGTATGGCTCCTGCAGTCTGAGCGACGTTGACATAGTTTATCGATCCCCACATATATTATTACAGTAAGGCTCGAAATCGGTTTTGTACCAAATATAAGCTCCTATCATGCTCAAATACCATGAATGGGGTACTGTTGGATTCAGAATTTCACGGGGGGTTAGCAAATCATATTCTCCACTTTTGTTTTTCTTTCTAAAATAAATAAAGTCGATACAAACATTTTGCTATGCTTCAATACTGGAACGGTGGTAGGTCTGTAGATCGATGCATCGATGCACTGGACAAATTGGATCTTGAAGATTTTGATGCGTACAGCAAGACCTGGATAGTTCCTCCGGAACTATCGGATCCTGCATTTTTAAGCCCAAAAACGTGCTATTTTCGAGATAACGCAAGGCATAGGGTTCGCATCCATACAGCCTTACATTAATTGTGGTACTGTCATTGAATACATGTCTCATTTCGTCGACTTGAGGTCTCTATGATCGAGAGAGATAAACCCCTTATTATTTATCGATGGTTTTTTTGACAGGCAAGATATGTCATCGTTAATTTTTCTCCAAATCTCAAGATTGAGCCACCAATTTCGAAGGTTTCCTTCTCCTTCAGCCAGGCAAAATAGTCCATTCACCCTGAAAATTAAGGCAAACAAGTTATGAAAGAAAACAAACTTTATTTGCTAATAACTAAAAAATTACACACTTTTCCCTCGGTTATGTCCATTATTATAGAAAAGATACAGCTTATTGAGATTTGTAAACATGATGGTTCGAAACATTAATGAAGATTTAAATTAATTTTTGTTTTCTTTGTCGATTATATGTATCTTTTGATACCTTGCATTATTTTAGTTTCTTATTAATTTGGCATTTGATAACAATATGCTGTGCGAATTTTTTGCAAGGGCCTACTAGTAAATGAATTAAAGGAATAATCATTAAATAATTATTTCTAGAATAATGTTCATTCCTATAGTTTTATTATAAATAATTCTTGAACTTTGAATAACTTGAACATTCATTGCTATAAAGCCGTATATTTCTAAATTGAGTTATTGAGAAAGTTTTTAATTCATTCCTTTATTTATTGCTTGATTATCATTTATTTTATAACTAAATTATTCTTTAAAAACATAAAATAATAGATATTACATACTTATTATATAATATACAAGATGTCATAAACTATTTGCCATGGAGTTAAGAAAAAAAAGAACTATACATAATATTATATAATTTTTTTACAGCGAAGCTGTAAACAACATGGAGCCGTTGTATGACCACCACCAGCTCCTAGCACCAAGAAGAAAAAATCAGTGATTTTCCTGGAGCTATCACTGTCGGAGCTGTCATGGAAAATCTGTCACTAGCTGTTAAAGCGCGCCTGGCGCCCTCTAGCTTTTGTCAACTTCATTAGTTCTTCTTGAAATTTGTTTCTTTTTTAAGCCGATCTATTATTTACTCAATAAATTATGTTCTTTAGTTATAACAGATGCATTATTCCTTGTTATAATTATTCTTTTCATGAAAAATTAATGTTTACAATAATTTTTAGTACACATATTAATGGATTGTAATTAAATAAAAGGAGATTAGACTAAGAGATTTCAGGGCCTAATTAAAATAGTTGTTATAAGTATTGCCTCTAACTAACATTTTTAGACCATCATGGTTTAAATAAGAGTCTATTTCCCAGTGAAAATAAATTATTCTCCAACTGAGGCTCCTGAAATCACGATTTAACAGACTGAAACCAAACCGTTGTATTATTTTTTATTATTTTTATCCTTCCCCATTCTCTCTACCAGGTCAATCCCTGATAAAGAATTATCTTCACCTCTCTCCCATCCTACTTCCTTTCTCCTTTCATAGGATTAATCTATTTGGTCCTTGTTTCGCAAGCATCCTTCTTGTGCCGGTACTTGTATTGTAGGTCAAAACCTCCCTTATTATCTAATCTTATTTCACATAACCTTTCTTTTCTCCTCTAACCTAAGTTATTTTCTTGTTTATTTTTTGTTCCTTGTGTAAGCTGTGAATTACTCTTATTTAATTAGGGATGTTGTCACATTGTGGGAATTGACGTCTTCAAAAGTAGAGACTATCAAATATTTTCAAGACGTCGGGATATTTGCAAAGGTGAAATATTGCGATGAAGTTCGACGGGAAGATTAAATGGAAATGCTTTCGTAGTTGTAACATAACGTTTTATATAAGGAAAGGAACATGGTTAGAGGGGTCCAGGATTTCTTTTTTAAATACCAACATCGTTTCTTTTATTTGTACATATGCTGTTTAAGTGGTTTTTTATTATTTCATTTATTTTTGTCTATTATTTGCCTATTTTTATTATTTGATTTATTTTTATATATATGTTGCAATGTTTTCGTAATATTTTTTAATTGTATATGTTTAATGTTTTGGTCTATTTAATATATATCTTGTAAAATAAAAGTATTTTATTTTATATTAATAATATCAATACAATACAATAAATATAAATATGAAGATATCGTAATATGAATATAATACAATAAATATGAATACCAAGATATTATCAGTGACTTATCACAGTTATTATTGTTAAGGTTATAAACATTGGTAGATAGCAGTCCGATGCTACCCCCTATTATAGAAGTACCCTTGTGCCTTCCCAGGGAGTATGATTTCACCTATCCTTGCAAGCCAAGCTGCTAAGCCCTGGATGCTGTATGAGTTATTATAACTACTGTTGTTACAGCTATCTTTTTTTTTTTTTTTTTTTTTTGGTACTTCCCTTCCTCGCCGTTAAGGCTATACGGGATTTTCCCGGGCCAGGGGGTGTGGGCGGGGATTTAAAAGACTCCCCCGGCACCGGGACGCGAACTCGTGACTATTTTTATATCTTTAATTCATATGTCAGGTTGCCAGGCAACGGCGGTGCAGTGCACACGCTTTAACCCATTCGGCTACCCCGCCCACTTGTTACAGCTATCATTCTCGGTGTTCTTATTACCTTACACTGATACTGACTCTTATTTCTTATGATAAACTTGGTTGACCCTTATTTCATACACGTCCCTCTTGCACGTTTCCAGGTTGCCCCTGAGAATGTGAGGTCACCTATTATTGCAACATCTGGGAATTGCCTCCATCTAGACCCTGGATGTTATAGAGGTTGTCCCTCTTATTCTTGGCAGTCTTACTCTATACTATTTCCATATCATCCTATCTACGCTCATCCATCTCTTCTTTAAGGCAAATTCAGAAAGAAAAAGATATTTTAAAGTTAGACAAAGTAGATATTACAATTTAGTATTTTATTTGTCACATTTTTCAAACCAAATATTATTGACTGATCCCTTGTCTGGTTTTCAAATTAAGGCTTAGTCGTTGTAGTTACTTCAATGTTTTGTTTTCTGTAAATATAAAGCTGTGTGTAATTAACTGAAAACTTCATAATAAGGTGTGTTCACCATATAATACTGGGAACAGTAAGTTTTCATTTTATGTCTTCCTCAACTGTCATCCTTGAGCTGCAGAAGACTTCCTGATTTCCATCCAAACACCTCCCAGCTTCTTAAAGGCGGTGCCACCCGATGGCCTAAACATTTGCACGAATATTCATGGCAACGTTTATAGCAAAACGTGAATGTTTCCGCTAATGTGATGTGAATGTTGGATTTTTATATTTTAAGACGTTACTGATTTTAACAAAATTTTAAGTTTATTATAAGTAAATAGGTACTTGTTTTGTCAGTGCTGTAAAATTTAACTAATAGTTATTATATATACTTTATTATCAGGATTTGAAATCGTGTAATTATTATATTTGATTTTGAGCTTTTCTGATCAATTTTGTCCCCATGCATGTTCTGATCCCACAAAATGAAATCTATGCAGTTTCATTTTTTTTATATGGCCTTTTGTAAAAGCCCAAGGTCAGTAGAACTACCAGGTTCGCTCACTCAGAAGGAAAATGGCGGCGAGGAATTGAGCTCTGACGTAGCCAAAAGACTGAGTTTACCCCTCCGGCCTTTGTTTCTGGACATTTTAGGATTATTATTTACTTTTATACATTAAATCAATATGGTATTGCCAAATAACTTATTAATTTATTAATTTTAATAAATTTGAAAGGTGAGAGAAAGGTTGATTTGATATTTGGTTTATTCTGAAGCAAATAAAATGTAATTTAACAAGTTGTTGTATGATTTTTTGCAAAGTACCACAATACTACTTTTTAAATATTTCAAATAAATACAGAGCATAATATAAAATAATAGAAATATTGAAAAAAAAAAGTATTTAATCTAATATTAAAGAAATGTTTCTTTCCGTGATTTTTTGTAAATATTACATTTGTATGTCATAAGTAATCCTATGTAGTGATTTTTCGCAATTTTTTTTGGCTTTATTTTATATTTTCTTAATTGTTGTAAAAATTATTGGGTATTTAAAAATTTGATTCTATTAAATACCTTTTGCTGAAAGAAAGGCTTTCTTCATTAATTTCTACATTTTGTTTCCTAAGAAAAATATAGTAAATTTTTTTACATTTGCATTTTAAAATCCAATCTTTTCTTCGAGCGTCCTTGGAAAAGTATGAAATGAAATTTCCTTTCCCATCTTCTTTGTGTCAATTAGATTATTGTTGCAAGATGCAACTGCGCATTTTGTACGTGGCATTCTATAGGATTCTATTAATAATTATGTTATTATGCGAAATCCAAGAAACACTAATAAGAACAATCGAATTCACTGTAACATGTTATTAAAAGTAAAAAAAAAAAAATACTCGTTATAATATTATTTTAGAGACGGATAAATAGTTGACTGTTAAGATTTAAGATAATAAGGTGAAAATAAATTATCAGGATTTGCAGTAAAATTTGTTTATTTATTTAATTAAATTTATTTATTTAAAGAAATTTTGACTGTAAAACCTGACAAAGACCTTCACCCTTATAATATTATTATAATATTAAAAGAAATACCCACGAGATCTACAAACAAAATTACACAAACATTGTGCTAAAATGTTCTCTAAATATATATAAATCTTAGTTATTTCTATTTATGTAATATATTTGTATATTATTTACAGAGATTTTGAAATAAAGAATTTATAAATAATCCTAATATCAATTTCGTTCTTTTCGTTTGAGGCCTGGCCTGTAATTTTCATAGCATTTTATTCTAGATTGATAGCCGTATTTATCTATTTATCTGCTTGAAATTATCTTCAATCAAACGTCAAAAACACAGAAAAGTATTCTTCTCAATAAATTAAACTAGAAAACAAAAAAAAACACAATAATGTTGAAATAAGCCTTCATTAATATGCTTGTAAGAGTAACAGGTAGGTCTGGCGGTCTATCCCTTACGTCACGTTTCAAGTTCCCCCACCACGCATTTCTGGGTGAGCGAACCTGGTTGTTTTATTGACCTTGATATATATTTATAAATCATTCAATCTAGCACAAAATAAAATTTAAATATGTCATTTTGCAGATCCTGAAACGGTTATATGTTCGGGTCTGGGGTTTTTGCAATAACATGGAAATTCGGTCTCTAGTTGTAATGAACCCTGTTCAAAAATATCAATGTGTATGTGTATTAGAGTAATAAATATATCTCTGCATATAAAATTTTAATACATTATACACGATTATGTTTTTTCCATTGTATGATTTATACATACCATCACCACAATACATTATAGATTACACTACTACTAATGAAGGTGCTATTACACTATTCTGCATCTTCGTTGAAATAATCATCCTCTGCTTTGCGTGGCCTTGATTTCGACCTCCTCAGCGGTTCCTTCTTCGCCGAGGCACCAAGTTCTGGGTAATAACGTTGGTAGTATTCCCTATTGAACATCACGGGAATGAAGAACGGACTCGTCCTGACTTCCTTCGATGGAGGCTCACGGGATCTGTACTGGTCCTCAGCATTGCTCCCTACGACGATCAAGAGGAAGCAAATAACCAGGAAAACCTTCATGGGCTACCAACACAATAAATAATTATTATTAGTGTAATAACAGTTCTATATGTTAGATCTGAATAACTATTCATATTAAACTAGTAAAGACCCGTGCGAAAAATTCGCACAACATATTGTTATCAAATGCCAAATTAATAAGAAATTAAAATAATATAACATATCAAAAGATAAATAAATCAATTGTAACTTTATCGATAAATATTATCGACAAAGGAAACAAAAATCAATTTAAATCTTCATTTGGAAAATCCGACTAAATCAAGAAAAATCACAGCACATCACATTTACGCTTCGACATGAAACATGCCCTCCAGTTTTCCTTGACAATACACAGATTCCACAGACAGACACCGTTTACTACTTTGGTCTGACATTTGACAGAAAAATGACGTGGGGCCCACATATAATCAAGAAACGAAAAAAGCTAAACCAAAGATTAAGAATTCTGAACTCACTTCTTTCGAAAAATTCAAAATTAAAACTTAGACAGAAACTGAACACATACAATTACTTACTAAAACCTATTTGGACTTACGCATCACAAATATTTGGAACTGCTAAAAAGACTCACTTAAACAAACTTCAAACCTTTCAAGCAAAAACATTCAGGACAATTACAAAAGCACCTTGGTACGTTAGCAACATAACCTTACATACTGACCTCCATATGCCGACTGTTAACGAACACATACGAACTCATTACAAACGATTTCA